TTTAACTTCTAATCACACTTAGTCAAGCATTCACGATCCAAAGATTCAATATTTTCCTCCAAGCGACTCAACTCAAGCACGATATCAATTTTCACAAAAGCAAACAAAGATATACGAAGTAATGAGGCTTAAGACTAAGTACTCACTCTTACACGCACTTGGAAGGAGAAACGGAGTCAAAAGCTCGAAACTTTACTTGAAACAATGTCGCCGAAAATTTGCCAGAAAACTTGATTCATATGCTCCAAACCAAAACATAAAAAAAAAAGAAAATAGAGAGGATTTTCCCAACTTAAAAGTTGGGAAATGAGGGTTATGTCCAAAAATACAAAGGATAATGTCTTTTTATAGCTACACCACAAAAACACACTAAAAACACGCACATTTAGTCAAAAACTTGCGAGGTCTCCATGAAATTCGCGAGGTCGGGAGTGGGCAGGGCACTGGGCGCGCATGGACACTCGCGTGGTCGCGGAACGGCCCGCGTGTACACGGGACGCGCAGGTAGTGAACTCGCGAGCTTGCGGTCGGATTCGCGCGCGCGGAAAGGCCACTCGCTGGCACGCAAGCACGACACTCGCGTGCTGGACAGCTTTTGCGGGCTCGACATTGGAAACTCGCGGGCTGCATGGATGAATTCGCGGGTTAACAGCCTTTCGCGGGCGCGAAACGCAAGCTCGCGGGCTGCATGGATGAACTCGCGGGTTAGCTTCCTTTCGCGGGCGCGAAACGGAATTCGCGGGCACTGGGCTGCAGTGGCGTGCGGGCAAGTGCAACTTCGTTTAGCTCTAACTTTTCGCACACAACTCCGATTCGTACGAAACTTGGACGAAAATTCTCCTCATTGAATTCTCTTCGTCCCTGTATGGCTTGGTCAGATTTTCCAGGTTGGACGGCTCGGTCGGCTCGTTCTCGACACGTTGGGACCTATTCAACACCAAAACAACAAAGAAAACGTGCAAAAATACGAAAATACTATACAATAACAAAAATACACAAAACACGATAAAATGGACCGGTCGACACTAAAACGAGCCTAAAACTATATAATAAAGCACACATAACACATGAAAATAACGACAAAAACACAATAAACAGCTCGCGGCACACAACCCTGTATATAGTTACAACCCTAAATGGGCAAATAAAAGTCACGGGTCTACATAAATTCAATAAAAAAACTGAAAAAAAAAACACAACCGAAAAAAGTTACCACTTCATCAGCGAATCTAAAAAATGTCCATTTTTTTTCTTATTTCTCATGTTGTGCCTAATTTTTTAATTTTTTTTTCGGAAGAGTTGGTGTAAATCTGGGGACAATGGGGCATGACAGAGGTGGAGGGGAGAGCAATGATTGGTTTTTCATGCAAGTTTGGGGCGACAGTGAAGTCATCTTTAAATTCGGAGAAGGGAAGAGAGTGGTCTGAGAAGTCCCGTTCCGAATCAAAAGAGCAAGACTCAACGATCACTGAGTTGAGCTTAGGTAAACCTGGCTCCAAAGAGTCAGTACATTTTCTGGTCCCACATCAGGAAAAGTTGAGGGGCCAAGAATTTCTAACGGGGAAGGAACCAGGCCTAGTAAGAAGGGGTTGGGTGGCGCCTCGCCAAGAGGAGGTGTCGAGTCCAAGGGAGTTGGGTCCGGGGCAAAGGAGGAGGGGTTTGGTGGTCTAGCGAGAGGGGGGACGAAATAGAAGAAGGGGAAGAAATATGAAGAAAGAGTTCAATATTGTGAGGGTTTTGTCCCTTGTTAATTTTGGCGGGACGAATGGTTGGAGTTTTATGTAACATGTTGAGTAGGCGTAGTTTACGCGAAGCGGCGTATATCGTAGTTGTTGGGATAGCAAGCTACCTCTTTTTTATGAGACTTCACTTTGCTTCGTTTGTATGACCCACATGACAGCAATAGGAACAATATTTTGGTAAGCGTTCGAACTTGATATTGAGTTCGACGCATTTGTTTCCGCGAGAAACGTCAATACTAGTGGGATGGGGGAATTCATGATTGAAAGCTACGCAAAAGCGTGTATATTGGAGCCGAGTTACTTTTAGTGTGGCATCATCGACTTTTAATAGGGTGCCAAAGATGTTGGCGATTATTCGAATAGCCTTTAAATCAAAGCAATGAAGGGGAAGAGCTGAGATTTTGATCCAAATTGGAATAGTGCATTTTTGAAATTAAAATCTACGGAACGTTTAAAAATCCGCATTGGATAATTTAGAATAGAAATTTCACAGTTCAATCATTGTTTGGTAGACGTGTTTGGGTCTTCGACTTTGATCAAGATGTGATTGGCAAAAGGAGGGAATTATTTTTTTTTTTCTTGCAACCGATGAAACCTAAAAGAGCAAGGTTCGACCAAATAGCGTCATTGAAGGGCTTGCCGAAGGAGAATTTACCTTTGAGGGCATATTTGAGATCCTCCAACATTTTCAAAACTTCTGAAGGAGAGAAAAGAATCTCTAGGATGCTGTCGAATAGAGAAATAGAGCCATGTGAGAAGGGCTCGGGTGGGAAGATTTTTTGGGCAACCGAGAGGAAGGATTTTGCCGGACCAAGGTCAACGATTTGGGTTGTAGAGGAGACATGGGCTGATTGGATTTTGCAGGGTTTGGGCTCGTTTGGAAGGGTTGGGTTGGGTTTGAACCAGGTTGGGTTGGGTTCGGCCCAAACTGGAGGGTCTGGGTTTGGTTCGTGCTGGGCATGGTGGAGGTTGTAGTGAGAGGAGATGTAGTGAGAACGGGCTGGGCGGGCCTGAGATTGGTTCGCGATGGCTTGGATGGTC